ATCTCTTGACCTCATGATCCACCCGCCTCGGCCTCCCAAAGTGCTGGGATTACAGGCTTGAGCCACCGCGCCCGGCCTACATTATTGTTTTAAGTGAACTCTTCCCTCCGTGGTTAGATCAGAGTTCACTGAAACCTAAGATCAGAGAACTGAATTGAACAACGTTTGTCTCAGAGTAAAGCAAAGGAAAATCTTTTTCCTTGATCCTTAATTCCACACTCTAAATCTCTGTTTGTGATTATATAACAGCCATGATTTAGCTTACTCACCATGACTTGACAAACTGCAGTCTTCAAGACTGACTGAGTCATGATGATTGGGAAAGAGATCTTTTTTGACCTGGTGCAGCCAAATCTTATCCATACCTTCAGTTTAATGACAAGTGAGGAAGTTTGTGAGCCATTCTGTGCTCCTGGCACTTTTTTCTGTTATTCTTAATTTGGAAAGGCTTTTTAGGCCTGCAATTTTATTAATTCTTCTAATATCCAAAAGAAACAGAGTGATTCTATAACAAGATGTCTTAAAAAAAAAAGAGAAACGAGATATGTAACACAATACTGTTTCTATAAAAGTATATACCCACAGTGTACGTTATGAAAGAACATGTAAAAAAGAACTGTATGCACATCAAGCATATCACAATAGTTACCTTTAGTAGGAGGAGAAAAAGCAGGGAATGGAGGTTTCTGTTTGTTTGCTTTTTGTTTTTCGAGATAGGATATCACTTAGACACCCAGGCTAGAGTGCAGTGGCATGATCACAGCTCACTCCAGCCTCCACCTCCCGGATTGAAGCTATGTTGCCCAGGCAGATCTTGAATGCTTGACCTCAAGTGATCCTTCTGCCTCAGCCTCCCAGAGTGTTAGGATTACAGGCATGAGCCACAGCACCCAGCCTGGGAATGGGTTTTTTTGTTGCTGTTGTTGTTACATAAATTAATGAGAGATAGAGAGAGTGAGAAAGAAAGAATTTGGCAGAACAGCGGGGATAAAGTGCTACAAACGCTGATGACTAGGAAGATTTTAACTCTCAGTGTTGTGAGGTTTTTTTGGTTTGTTTCTGTTTTTTGTTTTTGGCAGTCTTGATCTATCGCCAGGCTGGAGTACAGTGGCACATTCTTGGCTCACTGCAACCTCCATCTCCCAGGTTCAAGTGATTCCCCTGCCTCAGCCTCCCAAGTAGCTGGGACTACAGGTAAGTGCCACCACACCCAGCTAATTTTGTATTTTTAGTAGAGACGGGGTTTCACCATGTCGGCCAGGATGGTCTTGATCTCTTGACCTTGTGATCCTCCCTCCTTGGCCTCCCAAAATGCTGGAGCATTGTGTTTTTAGGGTCCATCCAAGTTGCTTTATGTACATCAAACCCAGTGCTTCTGATTGCTGCATATATCCTGTGGTGTGCATCTGCCACACTTGATCCACATGCTCTGTTATGGGCTGAACTGTGTCCTCTCCAATTTCCTGTGTTAAAGTCTCCAACTCTCAGTACTCAGAATGTAACTGTGTTTGGAGACAGGACCTTTAAAGTGGTAATTAAGGTTAAATGAGGCCATAATAGTGAGCCCTAATCCATTTGACAGTATTTGAAGACAGGGCCTTCAAAGACATGATTAAGTTAAACTGAGGCTTACAAGTGGGGCTCTCATCCAGTGTGACTGATATCCTTACAAGGAGAGACATTGAGCCGGGCGTGGTGGTGGGCCTGTAATCCCAGCTTCTAGGGAGGCTGAAGGAGGTTCACCTGAACCCAGGAGTTCGAGGCTGCAATAAGCTATGATTCCCACTGCTGCACTCCAACCTGGGTGACAGAGCGAGACCTCAAAATAATTAAAATTAAGATAAATAAATAAAAGACATTGAATCTTCATTATGACTGGGAGTTAGGCATTGTTCTTTTTCCCATCTTGCCAATGGCTGAACTGAGTGAGGCAAGGAGAAAGTAAGTAAGTCTCTGAAAGCTACACCATTAGTAAGTGGCAGGTGCAGCCTTTGAACTTGCAACCGTCTAATACCAATGACTTGGTTCACGTTCAGCCCCCCGTCTTAGACCACCTCTCCTTGAAGAGGCGGGTCGAGGGCTGATGTTTGCTGGGGTGTGATGGGTGGGGCACCTCAGTGGCAAGACTGATGACTCCTACCTGGGGGAGTCTGGAAAGGGCTCACAGAGGTCTTGAATTGACTCGTGGAAGGTGAGTAGGTGTTCAACAGGCGGACTGGGGACAGACAGGCAGGGGGTCTGCACCCCAGCCCTGAGCGAAAGATTGCACTGCCCGCAAACAGCCGGGCTGACGGGGAACCCAGGGATGGGAGCCAGCACAGGGAGCTGATTCTGGATGTGGCTGCCTCAGGCCCTGCCTTTGGTTTCCTCTGGCCTGTGCCGCAGATGCCAAGGCTGGTTCCCTCGCACGGCGTATTTCCGCAGGGCTCCAAATTAGGACAGCAGGCGCAGGTCCAGTGTCACCTGGACAAAGCTCAGTTAGTGGTTTTACTATCAGAAGTCCCCAACCCCCCAACACACACAGACGCACACGTGCACACACACATGCACGCACTCACATACACATGGACACACACATGCACATAGGCACACACAGACACGCACACACACAAATGCACACAGATTTCCAGGACCCTGGTTTTCCTCCTGTGACTTTCTCGGGGCCGGGCTGTCACTCTCCAGGAGCAGCCCCACCCTGGGGTGGCCCCACCCTCTCCTGGGACCTGTCATAACCCGGTTCCGGGGAGCCTGGCTGCACAGTCCCAGCCGCCTTCCCCAGGCAGTGGAACCCTCGGACTCCTGTAAGTAGACCTCCTGCTTTTTTTTCGTCCCTTTTCTCCCTCCCCTAACCCTTTCGCTTTCTTCCTGCCGAGTCTGTAGACTCTCCCAGTGGAAGAGGTTTGCATTTATCCCTCCTTCACTTTTGCCGAGTGACCGCTGGGTCTTGCACTGGGAGAAGATTGGGAGCCGAGGTTCCGACGCCTCCCGGGCCCTGCAGGTCATTCGAGAGCTCGGAGACTGGCGCGGGGGGAAAAGGACAGCCCGGTTACAACCCGGGACACCTGGTAGCTGCCTGCACCCGGGAAGGGGCTGGCCTGGGAACTTGCAGAACTGCACAACAAGGGGGGGAGGGTGGAAGAAAGGGCCGGGCGCTGCGCCAGGCCCCATCCTCGGGCGAGCAAGACCTTCCCGGGGACCTCGCACCTCTGCGGCCAGACCAGACGCTTTCCAGGAGGGCTTCTGGACTTGCAGCGAGTTTGGAGTGCCCAGCGGTTGCGTTTTTGGGAAAAGGGACGAAGATGTGTGGACTCTAAAAAAGTTGAACTCATAAAGACTAGAATGATGGTTGCCAGAGGCAGGGAGCGGGTTACGGAGGGAATGGGGACTTGTTGGCCTAAAGGTACACAGTTCAGAGATGAGAGGAGTAGGTTCTGAGATCTGTCTCACAGCAGGGTGACTAGAGCCAATAATGTGTATTTCAAAATAATGAAAAGTAAACTTCGAATGTCTCACCATAAAAGTGATAGGTAGGGCCGGGCGCGGTGGCTCACCCCTGTAATCCCAGCACTTTGGGAGGCCGAGGCCGGCGGATCATTTGAGCTCAGGAGTTCAAGACCAGCCTGGCCAACATGGGGAAACCCCGTCTCTGCTAAAAATACATAAGTTAGCCGGACGTGGTAGCACAAGCCTGTAATCCCAGCTGTTTGGGAGGCTGAGACAGGAGAATCGCTTGAACCCGGGAGGTGGAGGTTGCAGTGAGCCGAGATCGCGCCACTACACTCCAGCCTGGGCGACAGCGAGACTCTGCCTCAAAAAAAAAAAAGGCGATGGGGGTTACGCTAATTAGCTTGATTTAATAATTCTACATTGTGTATATATGTCAAAACATCACAGAGTGCCCCATAAATGTATACAATTACGTTTTGTCCGTTAAAAATAGTCTTCATTTTTTTTTAAAAAAAAAGAAGGAACAGCCCCGAGCTGCGGATCGGACCGCCCCCCTGGCTGCCCCGCAATGCGGAAATGCTCCCTCCAGGCCACCAGTGTCCCTTCCCCGCGGCATTGGTTTGGAGAGCGGGGGAGGTCGCTGGCAGCTGCAGATCGTTTCGTGGCCGGATTGTTTGTAGCTGATGCACCCGCGGGAAGGCGCGGGTCTCATGTGATTCGGAAGAGTTCAGTCCAAACAGAACGTCCTGAGCCCTCGGCTCCGGACAGCTTTCATCATCTTCCGTTGCTTTGGTGTACAGTTTAAGCTCAAAATCGGTTCAGTGTGAAGTTTAAACTCAAATCCCTCCTTGGTCCAAACAAAATGGCTGAGCGCAAGTAATCCCAGCACTTTGGGAGGGCGGATCGCCTCGGCAACACAGTGGGGCTTGTCTCTACAAGAAAGAGACAAATAAAAGTATTGGAAAAAACAAACAAACAAAAAACAAACCCACCTGAAAATGGGGCGGAGCAGTGGCGCCCCCCGGTGGTTTCCAGGAGTTCTGAGGCTGCCTTGAAATGCCCGGCTCTTTCCATCTGAAAAGGGATAAATGGACTTCTTTCTATTTGGTTCTTTGTGGCTGATGCTTTTTCTTGGGATGCAGTCCATATGAGATGAGAAACAGAATATTCACATTCTCGGTAGCTGTTCAGTGCCATAGACAAACTCTAGCCTAGCAGTGGTTGGGAAGAATTTCTTTTTTTTCTTTTTTTGGAGACTGAGTCTTGCTCTGTTGCCAGGCTGGAGTGCAGTGGCACAATCTCGGCTCACTGCAGCCTCCGCCTCCTGGGTTCAAGTGATTCTTCCGCCTCAGCCTCCCGAGTAGCTGGGACCACAGGCACGTGCCAGCAGGCCTGGCTAATTTTTGTATTTTTGGTAGAGACGGGGTTTCACCATGTCGGCCAGGATGGTCTCGATCTTTTGACCTCATGATCCGCCCACCTCAGCCTCTCAAAGTGCTGGGATTATAGGCGTGAGCTAGCGCGCCCGGGGGGAAGAATTTCTTTGTTGATTTATATTTTTTCCTTGTCTTGAAGGTTTCTTTAAACTTCAGTTTCCTCATCCATACACTGGCAATGATACTAATGCCTATCTTATAGGGAAGTTGTAAGGATAAAATGAGGTAATCTATATGAAGTGCTTAGCATGACACCAGAAACATAGTAAATATTAAATGAATGTGGTTGATGTTACATGATAATGTTGGGATTTGGGGATATTGTAGTTGCGCCATCTGGGCTCAGTCCGATGGCTAGGGAACTGTTAAAATGCATATTGACTACATATTGACTGTGTTCTAGGAGCTTCAGGATGGTTCATGCTAAGAGGTGGACCCTGAAGAAGCACTTTGTTGGCAGTCCTACTAATAGTGACTTTGAGTTGAAGACAGCTGAGCTCCCACCCTTAAAAAATGGAGGTAAGTCATACTCAAAAGATTTCAGAGTTGGAAGGAACTATATCAGTTAGGCTTTACCGCATAAGAAACCACCTCAAAGTTTAGTGACTTTAAACAACCATCATTTATTAGTTTACAATTCTTTGGGTTGGCAAAGAATTAATTTAGGATGGGCCTTGTTCACATGTCTGCTGGGGTGCATGCCTCAGTTCTTATCTATGTGGCCTTTCTAGCAGGCTAGTTTGAGCTCTGTTCTCATAGTGGTCCCATAGATCTAGAGGAGCAGGAGTTGGCAAGCTCCGATGTACGAGCTCTTTTCTTTTCTTTTCTTTTCTTTTCTTTTCTTTTCTTTTCTTTTCTTTCTTTCTTTCTTTCTTTCTTTCTTTCTTTCCTTTCTTTCTTTCCTTTCTTTTTCTTTCTTTTCTTTCTTCTTTCTTTCTTTCTTTCTTTTCTTTTCTTTTCTTTTCTTCTTTCTCTCCCTCCCTCCCTCCCTTCCTTCCTTCCTTCTTCCGTCCTTCCTTCCTTTCTTCTTTCTTTCTTTTCTTTGTGAGACAGAGTCTCACTCTGTTGCCCAGGTTGGAGTATGGTGGCACAATCTTGGCTCACTGCAACCTCCACCTCCACCTCCCAGGTTCAAGCAATTTTCCTGCCTCAGCCTCCTGAGCAGCTGGGATTACAGGCGTGCACCAATATGCCCCGCTAATTTTTGTATTGTTAATAGAGACCAGGTTTCCCCATCTTGGCCGGGGTTTTGAACTCCTGACCTCAGATGATCCACCCACCTTGGTCTCCCAAAGTGCTGGGATTAAAGGTGTGAGCTACCACGCCCTGCTGTGTAAGCACTTTTCAAGCCTCTGCTTGTACCATGTTTGCTAACATCCCATGGTCAAAGCAAATCACAACACCAGGCTTAGATTCAAGAGGCAGAAAATAGATTTCTTGATGGGAGAAATGGCAAGGAGACCAGCACTCAAGGGTGGGAGTTATTTGTGGTCATTTTGCAATCTGCCACAAAGACCTTTCCAGGGTTCTCTGTGTGAAGCCTCCATGTCATGTGGCAGGATTCCTCTGCTTTCATTGATAATTTAAATTCATGCTTGATTGCATTACTCTTCATGGCTTTGACCAGACTGTGGGGAGGATGTCTTCTCTGTCCTTGTGAGCCTGATGATGACAGTGAGGCAAGCACTGCCCAGTAGCTATATGCAGAGTTCAGACTTTAAGAGGAGTCTATAAGGAGTGTTTACAGGGAAGTAAACTTTTGAGAAAAGGGGATGCAATGAAGTAGCATGGCAAAGTGTTCAATTCCATATAAGCTGTGATGGCCATGATTCAAATTCAAAATTCCAAAGAATGTATACATGGGAGTCACTCCAGCAAAATGCACATTATCTAACACTAACTGTGGCTGGCAATGAAACTGTATGGTGAGCACTGTGACATAATGGTTTACATGTGGCCTTGGGCAAGTTACTTAACCTAAACTTAAATAAAATGAAAACAGTATTTGTTGAATATCAAATGAAATAATTCATGTAAAGCCTGGAATGAGTATTGAGTAACTAGCATTATTCTTATTATTATTACTATTAACTGGGGTGGGCCAAAAGTGAGAACCCTTTCTTGTCTCTTCCATAGAAGCACAGATGGGAAGGCAACCCTGCAACAGAAATATTATCTGTGTTTTTTTAGGATGTCAAAAAGAGGCCTGATGCAGTGGCTCACGCCTGTAATCCCAGCACTTTGGGACACCAAGATGGGCAGATCTCTTGAGGTCAGGAGTTTAAGACAAGCCTGGCCAACATGGTGAAACCCCGTCTCTACTAAAAATACAAAAATTAGCCGGGCATGGTGGTGGGTACACCTATAATCCCAGCTACTCTGGAGGCTGAGGCAAAAGAATCACTTGAACCCGGGAGATGGAGATTGCAGTGTGCAGAGATCAAGCCACTGCACTCCAGCCTGGGCAACAGGGCAAGACTCCATCTCAAAAAAAAAAAAAAAAAAAAAAAAAGCCAGGCTTGGTGGCTCATGCCTGTAATCTCAGCACTTTGGGAGGTCAAGGCAGGCGGATCACCTGAAGTCGGGAGTTCGAGACCAGTTTGACCAACATGGAGAAACCCCATCTCTACTAAAAATACAAAATTAGCTGGGTATGCTGGTGCATGCCGGTAATCCCAGCTACTCCAGAGGCTGAGGCAGGAGAATTGTTTGAACTTGGGAGGTGGAGGTTGCAGTGAGCCGAGATCGCGCCATTGCACTAAAAAAAAAAAAAAAAAAAAAAAACTGTCTCAAAAAAAAAAAAAAAAAAAAAGCCAAAAACAATGAAGGCATCAGGCCTTAAGTTTGTTTTTTTTTTTCCTTCTACTTTTATTTTGGTTTTAGGGGCACATATGCAGGTTTGTTCTATGGGTAAATCACATGTGACTGAGGTTTGGTGTATGAATGATCCTGTCGCCCCGTTAGTGAGCACGGTACCTCATAGGTAGTTTCTCAACCCTGTCCCTGTCTCACCCTCCCCCATCTAGTAGTGCTCAGTGTCCATTGTTCGTCTTAGGCCTCGAGTTTCTAATTGCCTATGGAATGCTCTATTTTGCAGAGGTCCTGCTTGAAGCTTTGTTCCTCACCGTGGATCCTTACATGAGGTATTATTTATTTCCCCCCTCAACATGCTAATGCTGTGTTAAATGCTATTTTGAGGTAGTTCATCTTTTAAAATATCCAACTGACTTAAAACATTGTCACTTTCCCTCTGGTTCTCCCAGCACAGTATCAGTGACAGGATTCGTGCACACACATCTTTTGCAGGCAAAGGTCTAAAAAGATTAGTGATTAGATCACTCTTGGTCTCTTTTTCCCAACCATTTCCTATCGCTCTGCACAATTTGCCTTTCATTGCTCAACAGAACTACTTCCAGGAAAAAAAAAAAAAAAAAAAATAAAAAAAAAAAAAAATAAAGAAATGGAAAAAAAAAAAAAAAAAAAAAAAAAAAGGAAAAAAAAAAAAAAAAAAACTTAAAAGAAAAAATAAAGCCTGGGCAATGTAATGAAACCCCGTCTCTACTAAAAATACAAAAAATTAGCCAGACATGGTGGCGCATGCCTGTGGTCCCAGCTTCTCAGGAGGCTGAGGTGGAAGGATCACTTGAGCCTGGGAGGCCGAGGTTTCAGTGACCCGAGATCATGCCACGGCACTCCAGGTAACAGAGCAAGATCCCATCTCTTAAAGAAAAAAGCCAAACTCCAATTTGTGCATTTCACTACTGGCAAATAATCTGGGTAGAGGAAGATGCTAAGACTAACATCAACTTTTTCTGGCTTTCCATTTACCTGTATTTTTTTAATTTAGGTAAATCTGCAGTTGAGTCAAACTTATATACTCAGCAAACAACTCAGGGAGGGGAGGAAATCAAAAGCCTTTATTTATCACTAAGTCGTCAGTAATTTTTTGCCTAGATAAATAAAATAGCCATTGTTCTTTTACATTTTTTTCATAGCTGATTGATAAAGATTCAAATCTCAAGTGGAAAACACAATTTTGAAATGTTAATTGGCCTCTTTTTGTGTAGCTAGTGTTTTGGGTAACAAGTATGCAGTGGTGCCTGGATTATATTTTTTAAAGTCATTGGTAGAAATTCATCTTTACTTGAACATGGTAGTAAGACTTTTGTGTTCGCACATAAAAAAATCCAACCGGAGTGCTTATCTGAGGTCACAGAGCAGAACTTCCTCTAACAGCTTTCTTCCTGCGTCTCACCTAACTATATGACTTCATCTATCCAGGTTTTATTGCCACATACACTTACCTAGCAGCTTTTCATTTGGCTTGAAACTTAAAACAGTCCCCAGATGCTCTTATGTATTAAGAATGCAATATTTTTTTTTTCCAGAGTGGCAGCCAAAAGATTGAAGGAAGGTGATACAATGATGGGGCAGCAAGTGGCCAGGTAATCATTTCCACTGATCCCAAAGCTTGCAAAATATGTCTCCTCTTTACCTCCTGCTGGGCCCTGTCTCTGCCCATTAATCCTACAATTTCTTCAGCTTGTGTGGTTCACTCACTGTGTGATCTTTGAAGCAACTTGGGAAATCGTGTACCCTTCCTGACTAGTTGGAAAGGAGGGAAGGATATGGAATTGTCATACTTTCTGCTCCACTTTGCCATCCTTACTTTTAATTACTAAAAATAGTTTAAAAATAAATAAATAAATAAAAAGAATTAATCCAGGTCATAATTATTGTAAAAATTCAAATAAAACAAAAATTTTTATCTTGGAAACTGAAAGCTCCCCCATCATCTGAACCATAAAGACAACTATGGAGAGGCCGAGGCAGGTGGATCACAAGGTTGGGAGTTCGAGACCAGCTTGGCCAAGCATGGTGAAACCTGTCTCTACTAAAAATATAAAAAATTAGCCGGCGTAGTGGTATGTACCTGTAATCTTAGCTGCTCAGGAGGCTGGGTTAGAGAATTGCTTAAACCGGGGAGGTGGAGGTTGCAGTGAGCTGAGATTGCGCCACTGCACTCCAGCTCAGGTGACAGAGCAAGACTCTGTCTCAAAATAGAAAAAAGACAACTATGGTTAATTTTCAAAAATTGTGGGTCAGGCACAGTGGCTCACGCCTGTGATCCCAGCACATTTGGAGGCTGAGGTGGGCAGATCACTTGAGGTCAGGAATTCGAGACCAGCCTGGCCAATATGGTGAAACCCTGTCTCTACCAAAGATACAAAAATTAGCTGGGCATGGTGGTGCATGCCTGTAATCCCAGCTACTCGGAAGGCTGAGGCAGGAAAATCACTTGAACCTGGGAGGCGGAGATTGCAGTGAGCTAAGATTGCACCACTGCACTCTAGCCTGGATGACAAAGCAAAACTCCATCTTAAAAACAAATTTGTTCGGTGCACATACTTTTATATATAAATTTTAAATGGAATTAAATGCCCTTTAGAAAACTACTTTCTGTCACTTAATAGGTTAAGGATATCTTTCACTGACAGTATATAAATATACCACCTACCTTTTAATAGCTGCAAATTATTTTATTATTTTCCACCATTTAACTAGTCTACTACTGATAACAACTGTTTTCAATTTTTTCTATGACAAATAATTCTTCCAGGAGCATGTATGTATCTATATGTGTATCTGTGTATTCTTTTCCCTCTTGAATGAGTATTGCTTTACATTAAATTCCCAGAAGTATAAATTCTAGACCCAAAGAGATGTATATTTTTAATCTGAAAAGGTGATGACAAATTGTTCTTCAAAAAAATTATATGAAGGCCGGACATAGTGGCTCATGCCTGTAATCCCAGCATTTTGGGAGGCAGAGGCAGGAGGATCACTTGAGGTGAGGAGTCTGAGACCAGCCTGGCCAACGTGGCAAAACCCCATCTCTACTAAAAATAAAACAACTAGTCAGATGTGGTAGTGGGCACCTGTAATCCCAGCTATTCAGGAGCCTGAGGCATGAGAATCGCTTGAATCCAGGAGGTGGGGTTGCAGTGAGCTATCATGCCTTTGCACTCCAGCCTGAGCAATAGAGCAAGACATTGTTTCAAAAACAACAACAACAAAAAGTTGTATGATTGTTTACTCCTATCAACAGTATTAACCTGTTTCTCTTATACTGTTCACCATCAGTGTTGACAACATGAGATGAATATGAATAATTTATGCTTAGTTTAGTTTGCATTTCTTTTATTATTAGTGACGTTGACCTTGTTTTTGTAAGTTAATTTTCAATTTTCTTCTGTGGATTATCTGCTTATATCCTTTGCCCTTTTCCTTTAGGTCTTCTCATTTGTTATATTGATTTGTAAAAGCCGCTTGCACGTTCAGGATATTAGTGTTGCAAATGTTTGGGCCTTAGTTGATCTTTCTTCTGTGTCCAATTATAGTTTAACATTTTATGTGATAAAATTATAAAGATTTATAATCATGATCTTTTAGTTTCCTCTCATGCTTAGAAAGGCATTCTCCACTCCATAATTACTAAAACATTTATTCACGCTGGGTGCAGTGGCTCACGCCTGTAATCCCAGCACTTTGGGAGGCTGAGGCGTGGATCACCTGAGGTTAGAAGTTCGAGACCAGACCAGCCAACGTGGTAAAACCCCATCTCTATGAAAAATACAAAAATTAGCCAGGCGCAGTGGTGGATGCCTGTAATCCCAGCTACTCAGTAGGCTGAGGCAGAAGAATTGCTTGAACCCAGGAGGCAGAGGTTGTTGCGGTGAGCCAAGATTGCGTCATTGCACTCCAGCCTGGGTAACAAGAGCGAAAGTCCGTCTCAAAAAAAAAAAATTATTCATGTTTTCTGTATTTTATAGTTTAATTTTTTACAATAAAAATCTTTGAGTCATTTAGTTTTTATATTGGAATAAAGAGTGAGACCAGGTGCAGTGGCTCACACCTGTAATCCTAACACTTTGGGAGGCCAACATGGATAAATTGAGCTCAGGAGTTTGAGACCAGCCTGGGAAACATGGTGAAACCCTGTCTCTAAAAAAACCCAAACATCTCATTTTTTATTTTTTAAAATTTTATGTCTCAATGACTAGCCAGTTATTATAATACCATTTGTTGAAATCTTGTGTGGATCTTTATAGGGATTTCAATGACCTTACAGATTTATTTAGAGGAAACTGACATCTTTACAATTTCTCTTTCCAAACACAAGGTATGCTTCTCCATTTATCCATTTTGTCTTATATCCCATTAACAGTTTTCTTCATATAAGTCTCACACATTTCTTGCTAATAATTAAAGAAATGAACATGTATTTGTGTTTGCTGGATTGGCAAACTATTTTTTAAAATATAATACTCAGTGATGGAGATGATACACTCATATATTCATGGTGGCAATGAAAGTTGCCACAATCTTCTGGAAGGGAATTTGGCAATATGCAGCAAGAATTTCAAATGTTTTAATACTCTTTGACCTAGTAATACGATTTATAGAAATCCTGACTAAGGAAACAATGTTCAGCCAGGCGCAGTGGTTCATTCCTGTAATCCCCGCACTTCAGGAGGCTGAGGTGGGTGAAACTAGGAGTTTGAGACTACCTCGGGCAATATGGTAAACCTTGTCTCTACAAAAAATATAAAAAATGCTGGGTGCAGTGGCTCACACCTGTAATCTCAGTACTTTGGGAGGCTGAGGTGGGTGGATCACCTGAGATCAGGGGTTCAAGACTAGCCTGGGCAACATGGTGAAACCCCATCTCTGCTAAAAATACAAAAATTAGCTGGTGTGGTGGTACATACCTATAATCCCAGCTACTCAGGAGGCTGAGGCACGAGAATTGCTTGAACCCAGGAGGCAGAGGTTGCAGTGAGCCAAGATCATGCCATTGCACTCCAGACTGGGCAACAGAGCAAAACTCTTGTCTCAAAAAAAAAAAAAAACCCAAAAATTAGATGGACATGGTGGTGTGTTACTGTGGTCCCAGCTACTCTGTCCCAGCTACTCAGGAGGCTGAGGTGGGAGGATAACTTAAGCTCAGGAGGTTGAGGCTACAGTGAGCCATGATTGCACCACTATACTCCAGTCTGAGTGACAAATGGAGACTGTGTCTCAAAAAAAAAAAAAAAGGAAATAATAATCATGTTTATGAATATTAATTATATTTCCTAGCAAGCAGACTCAGAGAAAAAAGGAAAAAATTTTTAAAAAAGGAAAAATACTTAAAGTATTCTAATAATGGGGTCATAATTAAATTCATTACTGTTTTTGATGGATTCTTACTAACATGGAAAAAGGTATACATCATATAGACCAGTGGAATGTTGACAGATAAATTTTAGGTTACAAAACATAAAATTACTTCAATTGTATAAATATTTATAATACACATTTTTAAATATACCATTAAGATTGCCAAGTATTAGCAGTTGTCTTTGTGCTGTGAGATTAGAACTGATACTTTTATTTTATATGTTTAAAAATTTCTAGAATAAATATGTGTTATATAACTTTATGACCTGGGGAGGAAAGATGATAAAGTATGATAAACAGTTGAGGCCGGGCGCAGTGGCTCACACCTGTAATCCCAGCACTCTGGGAGGCTGAGGCCAGCAGATCCTGAGGTTGGGAGTTCGAGACCAGCCTGACTAACACGGAGAAACCTCGTCTCTACTAAAAATACAGAAAATTAGCCGGGCGTGGTGGTGCATGCCTGTAATCCCAGCTACTCAGGAGGCTGAGACAGGAGAATTGCTTGAACCCGGGAGGTGGAGGTTGCGGTGAGCCGAAATCATGCCATTGTACTCCAGCCTGGGCAACAAGAGTGAAACTCTGTCTCAAAAAAAAAAATGATCAAGAGTTGGATGAAGGAAAGGGAATCATTATAAATGAGACAGAAAGGGTGCAGCTTAGAGGAGGAGGTAAAAAACCAGGAGAGATCAGTATCCTGGTACCAGTTGGTGAAGACTTTGGGTGCCCCTGTGTTAATAGAGTGGAAAAGTAAAATCGGACAATGATTAAAGAATATTCACTGGATTTTGCACTCAGGAGGTTGTTGTGACCTTAGTGGAGTAGTAAGTATGGGAGGCAGGTTGCAGCGGGTTAGCACGTGTGGGAAGTGAAGAGGTTTGGCTGAAAAAGGAAGACGAAGGAACAAGGAGATAGGGGAGGGATGGGATTCTAAAATGGCAGAGCCGAGCATGCCCATACCCTGAGTGAAAGGGACAGTAGAGAGGAGAATCTCAAAGATTCAGGAGAGAAGAAGGCTAAGGGAAAGAGAGCGGCTCCTAAAGAAGAGAAGGCTAGTGTCCAGGTCACCTTGAGCCAGAAGACAGAGAACTCTTGCTTAAAAGGAAGAGCAGGCTGGGCACAGTGGCTCATGCCTGTAATCCCAGTACTTTGGGAGACGGAGGCGGGTGGATCACGAGGTCAGGAGTTAAAGACCAGCCTGGTCAAGATGGTGAAACCCTGTTTCTACTGAAAATACAAAAATTAGCCAGGTGCAGTGGTGGGTGCCTGTAATCCCAGCTAGCTGGGAGGCTGAGGCAGGAGAATTGCTTGAACCCGGAAGGTGGAGGTTGCAGTGAACTGAGATTTTGCCACTGCACTCTAGACTGGGTGACAGAGCAACACTCTGTCTCAGAAAATGAAAAAAGGAAGAGAAGTAAGTGGGAACAGATACTCCTCACCAGACAAGCCACTCCTCAAGTGACTGGTCCACTTTTGAGTTCTCTGATGACTCCTATGCCGATGGCTGAGAATTAAGATGGAAGGGGAGGTAGACTATCAGTCATGGAATATCAACCTCAGTGCCCTTTTGTCAACATGAACCCCACAGCATCCCGACTCCTTTGAAAGAGAAGACATATCACATGCCTTAATGTGCTTTATCTTTCAGGATTGTGGAAAGTAAAAATGCAGACTTACCAACAGGAACTGTTGTACTGGCTTCCTCAGGCTGGACAACGCACTCCATTTCTGATGGGAAAGATCTGGAAAAGCTGCCAACAGAGTGGCCAGACACAATACCACTGTCTTTGGCTCTGGGGACAGTTGGCATGACAGGGTGAGTTTCATGGATATATTTCATTTGTTTGATTGTCTGACACTCTGGTTTTCCAAAATAGTTTGTTCAGAACTTGGTCAACAGGAAGATAATTTGATGCATTATAGGCTCAGGGGCTGATTAGAGAAGATGGCAGGACTAAGAAGGAAGATCGACCTGATGTCCATCAATGAGTGAATGGATAAAGAAAATGAGGTCTATATACACAGTAGAATACTATTCAGCCTTAAAAAAGAAGAAAATCTTGTCATTTGTGACAACATTGGAGGACTTTATGGTTAGTGAAATGAGCCAGACACAGAAAGGCAAATACCATATGATGTCACTTAAATGTGGAATCTAAAAAAGCTGAAGTCATAGAATAAAAGAGTAGAATGATGTTTACCAGGGGTGAGAAGCTGAAGGGTTGGGGAGATTTGGCAAAAGGATACAAAATTTTAGTTAGACAGAGGAATAAGTTTTCTATTGTACAACATGGTGACTATAGTTAGTATGAATAATAATATATTATATGCTTGAAATTTGTGGGGGTTTTGTTTGTTTTTTGCTTTTTTGTTTTTGAGATGGAGTCTTGCTCTGTTGCCCAGTATGGAGCGCAGTGGTGTGATCTCAGATCACTGCAATCTCCACCTCCCAGGTTCATGCAATTTTGCCTCAGCCTCCTGTGTAGATGGGATTACAGGCATGCACCATCGTGCCTGGGTGATTTTTGTATTTTTAGTAGAGACGGGGTTTTCCCATGTTGGCCAGGCTGGTCTTGAATTCCTGACCTCAAGTGATCTGCCTGCCACAGTCTCTGAAAGTAGTGGAATTACAGGCGTGAGCCATTGTGCCCAACCTATATACTTGAACTTTGTTAAAAGAATATATTTTACATGTTCTCACCATACTATGTGAAGTAATTGTATTATTAATTAGCTCGATTTAGTCATTCTGCGATGTCTATATATTTCAAAACAGCATGTACATAATAAATATATATACATACAATTTTTGTCTATTAAAAATAAATAAATACATAACTAATCAAAGGGATGAGGCTGGGCTCAGTGATTCACACCTGTAATCCCAGTACTTTGGGAGGCTGAGGCAAGTGGATCACTTGAGCCCAGGAGGTTGAGACCAGCCTGGGGAACCTGGTAAAACCTCATCTCTACAAAAGATAGAAAAATTAGCTGGGCATGGTGTTGCACATCTGTAGTCGCAGGTTTTAGAGAGGCTGAGGCAGGAGAATTGATTGAATCTAGGAGGTTGAGACTGCAATGAGCTAAGATCACACCATTGCACTCCAGCCCGGGCAACAGAACGAGACCCTGTCTCAAAAATAAAATAAAATAAAGAAATGTAGGATAGAGTTAGCTTTGGGATTAGAGGAAAGAGGGAGAAAATAGGGTCAGAGACCCTCCGGTACAAAGAGAAAGTGACAGTGAGAAGCAGCACGGCACCCAGGCAGCTGCCAAAGGCAGCAAAAAGGAACCAGCTCCTCCCCGGGAGGCTCTTGGCCTTCTTTTTAAACTTCAGAGTTTAAAAAAGGGAAAGGAGATCAGTGTACTTTGGCCTCTCTTTATTGTCTCTCCTTCCTCACCTTTCCCTGTGTGCCGCAGAGGTCGTGAGGTAAGGGCATCTGAAGTCTGAATAATTGAGATGAAGCCAGGCATGGTGGCTTACACCAGTAATCCCAGCACTTTGGGAGGCAAAGGCAGGAGGATAACTTGAGCTCAGTAGTTCAAGACCAGCCTGGGTAACACAGTGAGACCACATCTCTACAAAAATATACAAAAATTAGCCAGATACTGTGGCATGCCTCTGTAGTTACAGCTACTCAGGAGGCTGAGTTGGGAAGATGACTTGAGCCTAGGAAGTCAAGGCTGCAGCGAGCTGTAACTGTGCCACTGCACTCCAGCCTGGGTGACAGAGCAAGACCTTCTCTCTAAATAAATAGTAGTTGAGATGAATCAGAAGTACAGTTGTAATGCCATTCAGCTTAGTACAGATCTAAAACCCTTAAGCTTCTCATGGTTTAGAGAAGACTTCTGGTCAGTTCATCCTGTGTCCATGCTCCAGTTCCCAACTGGACCCTTGGCACTGGGCTATTGAAAAGGCCTTCAAGATATATATAAATTAGTTATAGGGGAAAGAAACAACTCTATTCACATATCCTTAATTTTCTTCCCTTAGCCTGACTGCCTACTTTGGCCTACTTGACATCTGTCATGTGAAGGGTGGAGAAACAGTGATGGTTAATGCAGCATCTGGAGCTGTGGGCTCTGTTGTGGGGCAGATTGCAAAGCTCAAGGTAAGTGCCCTTCTCCAGTAACAAGCCTTTATTCAAGACCCACTGGGAATGCAACAGTAAACACAGCAGATCTTCCTTGGCCTCAGGGAGTTTATCATCTAGCGGTCTTGTTTAGAAGTTGGAGATTGAGAAATTGGAGGAATGGGGAAAACTATAGCAAAGATAAGCTGAACACTGTTTTGTTTTGTTTTTTTAAATTTTACTTTAGGTTCTGGGGTACATGTGCAGGTCATCCAGGGTTGTTGCATAGGTGCATACATAACCAGGTGTTTTGCTGCCTCTATTCCCCCTTCATCTATATCTGGCATTTCTCCCCATGTTATCCCTCCCCACCCTTCCCACCCCCCACTGTCCCTCCCCTAGCCCCCTGCCACCGCCAACTGCCTCCAGTATGTGATGCTCCTCTCCCTGAGTCCACATATTCTTACTGTTCAACACCTGCCTATGATGAGAACATGCAGTGTTTGGTTTTCTGTTGTTGTGTCAGTTTGCTGAGAATGATGGTTTCCAGATTTATCCAAGTCCCTACAAAGGACGTTAACTCATTGTTTTTTTATGGCTGCATAGTATTCCATGGTGTATATGTGCCACATTTTCTTTGTCCAGGCTATCATTGATGGACATTTGGGTTGGTTCCAGGTCTTTGCTATTGTACACAGGGCCGTAATGAATATACATGTGCATGTGTCTTTATAATAGAATGATTTATAGTCCTTTGAGTATATACCCAGTAATGGGATTGCTGGGTCAAGTGGAATTTCTATTTCTAGATCCTTGAGGAATCGCCACACTGTCTTCCAAAATGATTGAATTAATTTACACTTCCACCAACACTGTAAAAGTGTTTCTATTTCTCCACATCCTCTCCAGCATCTGTTGTCTCCAGATTTTTTAATGATCACCATTCTAATCACTGCATTTCTCTAATGACCAGTGATGATGAGCATTTTTTTCATATGTTTGTTGGCCTCATATATGTCTTCTTTTGAGAAGTGTCTGTTCATATCCTTTGCCCGCTTTTGAATGGTTTGAATGGCATTTGTTTGTATTTTTCTTGTATAGCTCTTTTAGTTCTTTGTAGATTCTGGATATTAGTTTTGTCAGATGGGTAGATTGCAAAAATTTTTTTCCCATTCTGTTGGTTGCTGGTTCACTCTAATGATGGTTTCTTTTGGTATACAGAAGCTCTGATGTTTAGTTAGATCCCATTAGTCTATTTTGGCTTTTGTTGCCATTGTTTTTGGTGTTTTAGTCATGAAGTCCTTGCCTATGCCTACGTCCTGGATGGTTTTGCCTAGGATTTCTTCTAGAGTTTTTACAGTGTTAGGTTTTATGTTTAAATCTTTAATCCATCTAGAGTTAATTTTAGTGTAAGGTGACAGGAAGGGGTCCAGTTTCTGCTTTCTGCACATTGCTAGCCGGTTTTACCAACACCGTTTATTACCAACACAGAGTCCTTTCCCCAATGCTTGTTTTTGTCAGGTTTGTCAAAGATCAGATGGTTGTAGATGTGTGGTATTGCTTCCAAGGCCTCTGTTCTGTTCCATTGGTCGATGTCTCTGTTTTGGTACCAGTACCATGCTCTTTTGATTACTGTAGCCTTGTATAGTTTGAAGTCCAGCAGTGTGATGCCTCCAGCTTTGTTCTTTTTGCTTAGGGTTGTCTTGGCTATGTGGGCTCTCTTGTGGTTCCATATGAAGTTTAAAGTGGTTTTTTCCAGTTCTGTGAAGAAGGTCATTAGTAGCTTAATGGGGATAGTGTTGAACCTGTAAATTAATTTGGGCAGAATGGCCATTTTCACGATATTGATTCTTCCTAACCATAAGCATGGAATGTTTTTCCATCTGTTTGTGTCCTCTCTTATTTCGTTGAGCAGTGATTTGTAGTTCTCCTTGAAGAGGTCCTTTACATCCTTTGTTAGTTGTATTTCTAGGTATTTTATTCTCTTTGTAGCAATTGTGAATGGGAGTTCGCTCTTGATTTGGCTCTCTGTTTGTCTGTTATTGGTTTATAGGAATGCTTGTGATTTCTGCACATTGATTTTGTATCCTGAGACTTTGCTGAAGTTGCTTATCAGTTTGAGGAGATTTTGGGCTGAGACGATAGGGTCTTCTAAATATACACTCATGTCATCTGCAAATAGAGACAATTTGACTTCCTCCTTTCCTGATTGAATGCCTTTTCTTTTTCTTGCCTGATTGCTCCGTCTAGAACTTCCAGTGCAATATTGAATAGGAGTGGTGAGAGAGGGCATCCTTGTCTAGTGCCTCATTTCAAAGGGAATGCTTCCAGCTTTTGCCCGTTCAGTATGATATTGGCTGTGGGTTTGTCATAAATAGCTTTTATTATTTTAGGATACCTTCCATTGATACCTAGTTTATTGAGAGTTTTTAGTGTGAAGGGCTGTTGAATTTTGTTGAAGGCCTTCTCTGCATCTATTGAGATAATCATGTGGTTTTTGTCTTTGGTTCTGTGATGGATTACGTTTATGGACTTGCGTATGTTGAACCAGCCTTGCATCCCCGGGTTGAAGCCTACTTGATCATGATGAATAGGTTTTTGATGCACTGTTGCATTTGGTTTGCCAGTATTTTATTGAAGATTTTTTCATCTATATTCATCATGGATATCGGCCTGAAGTTTTCTTTTTTGTTGAGTCTCTGCCTGGTTTTGGTTATCAGGATGATGTTGGTCTCATAAAATGAGTTAGGGAGGATTCCCTCTTTTTGTATTGTTTGGTATAGTTTCAGAATGATTGGTACCAGCTCCTCTTTGTACATCTAGTAGAATTCGGCTGTGAAACCGTCTGGACCTGAACTTTTTTTGTTGGTAGGCTATTGATTGCTGCCTCAACTTCAGACGTTGTTATCAGTCCATTCAGGGTTTTAACTTCTTCCTGGTTTAGTCTTGGTAGAGTGCAAGTGTCCAGGAATTTATCCATTTCTTCTAGATTTACTGGTTTGTGTGCATAGAGTCATTTGTTGTAATCTTTGATGGTAGTTTGTATTTCTGTGGAATCATTGGTGATATCCCCTTTATCATTTTTATTGCATCTATTTGATTCTTGTCTCTTTTCTTTTTATTAGTCTGGCTAGTGGTCTGTTGATATTGTTGATCTTTTCAAAAAACCAGCTCCTGGATTTATTGATTTTTTTAAAGGGTTTTTTGTGTCTCTGGCTCCTTCAGTTTGGCTCTGATCTCAGTTATTTCTTGTTTTCTGCTAGCTTTTGAGTGTTTTTGATCTTGCTCCTCTAGCTCTTTCAATTTTGATGATAGGGTGTCGATTTTAGATCTTTCCTTCTTTCTCATGTGGACAGGTATTGCTGTAAATTTCCCTCTTGACACAGCTTTAAAGGTGTCCCAGAGATTCTGGTAAGTTGTGTCTTCATTCTGATTGGTTTCGAAGAACATCTTTATTTCTGCCTTCATTTCATTGTTTATCCAGTCAACATTCAGAAGCAAGTTGTTCAGTTTCCAAGTAGTTGTGCAGGTTTTAGTGAGTTTCTTAATCCTGAGTTCTAGTCTGATTGCACTGTGATCTAATAGACTGTTTGTTATGATTTCCATTCTTTTGCATTTGCTGAGGAGTGATTTGTTTCCAATTATGTGGTCAATTTTAGAGTAAGTGCGATGTGGTGCTGAGAAGAATGTATATTCTGTGGATTTGGGGTGGAGTATTCTGTATATGTCTATTAGGTCTGCTTGATCCAGCTCTGCATTCAAGTCCTGGATGTTCTTATTAATTTTCTGTCTCATTGATCTGTCTAATATTGACAGTGGAGTGTTGAAGTCTCCCACTATTATTGTGTGGGAGTCTAAATCTCGTTTTAGGTCATTGAGAACTTGCTTTATGTATCTGGGTGCTCCTGTGTTGGGTGCATATATATTTAGGATAGTTAGCTCTTCTTGTTGGATTGATCCTTTTATCATTATGTAATGCCCTTCTTTGTTTCTTTTGATCTTTGTTGGTTTGAAGTCTGTTTTATCAGAGACTAGGATTGCAACCTCTGCTTTTTTTGTTGTTGTTGTTCTCCATTGCTTGGTAAATCTTCTTCCATTCTTTTATTTTGAGCCATGTGTGTCTTTGTATGTGAGATGGGTTTCCTGAATATAGCACACCAATGGGCCTTGACTTTTTATCCAGTTTGCCAGTCGGTGTCTTTTGATTGGGGCTTTTAGGCTGTTTACATTCAATGTTAATATTGTTAGAACATTGTTATTTGATAATATTGCAGGTAATCGAGTCAGAAATGGCCACTGTCTAGAGTAGTGAGTTTATCAGTATTAAGCATTTTCATATTTTTTTACTGGACATTCTAGGGCTGCAGCTTAATCCTATTTCTTCATTATTGTCCTTAGCAATAGAAGAAGGGACTTGAGATCAGCCAACTAAGAGTCATCACCCACGTGGCCCCACTGCAAAGGCTGTTGTACTGGAAAGAAATGCGCATGCAACCCAGAGCAGTGGGGCCATGACTTGGTAACTAACTCCTGGGAAGTACCCAGGACATGGAAACATTGGCTCTGATTTAGGCAGATGTCCGCTCAAGGGATCCAATCTGATGGTGGATATATAGAGCAGACGACAACTCAGACACAGTAAGGATTCGTTATTACATAGTGGGAATGTTCCAAGGTGATCTGGCTTAACTGATCCTTTGCCCAAGGCTGGGATACAGGATTCAGGACCTAGGTCCTAGGGGACAAGTTAGGTGGAATACAGATGAGTACAGAGCTACAGCCAACAGCCAAGGGTTTTAACTGGTCTCCAGTCTAAATAGGAGCTTGGAATACAAATACGAGGCTACCATAGAAGTTGTAGAATAATTTGTTTAAGTAAGTAAATAAATAAGAATAGATATCAAATTTTATTAAATGCCATTCCAGCGTTTATCAGGTTAACTTTTCAGTGAATGAATTTCATTCGTTTTCTATTGTCGAACCATTCTAACAATCCCAGATTAAGCTTTATCTATGTATGGTATATTATGGGTTTATGTCTTTGGAATTCACTTGATAACATTTAAAATAGAAATTTTGTATCTATATTCACAAGTGAGTTTGGTTTAAAGTTTACTTTTTGTTCTGGAATTTAGCTAGGCTTGGATTATGCTAAAATTACAAACTTATTTAGGATTATTTCTAATATTCCAATTTCAAATATCTTATTAAAACCACAAGGGGCTTTTATCCCATAAGTTTGATAGGGCTTACCCTTAAACCTATTCTTTTATATTCAACCTTTCTGTCCATTTTATGTGTGTTTCTGTAAAATGCAGCTATTTGTATTTTATTTTTACCCCATATGAAAATCTCAGTGTTGCAATAGTTAAATTTTTAATTTAATTTTTTTTTTTTTTTGTAAAGACAGGTCTTGCTTTGTCACCAAGGTTGGTCTCGAACTCCCTAGCTTTAAGCAATCCTGCCTTCCAAGGTGCTGTGATTGCAGGTGTGAACCACCTTGCCTGACTGTTTTTTTTTTTTTTTTTTTTTTTTTTGAGACAGAGTTTCGCTCTTGTTACCCAGGCTGGAGTGCAATGGCCCGATCTCGGCTCACCGCAACCTCCGTCTCCTGGGTTCAGGCAATTCTCCTGCCTCAGCCTCCCGAGTAGCTGGGATTACAGGCACGCGCCACCATGCCCAGCTAATTTTTTGTAGTTTTAGTAGAGACGGGGTTTTACCATGTTGACCAGGATGGTCTCGATCTCTTGACCTCGTGATCCACCCGCCTCGGCCTCCCAAAGTGCTGGGATTACAGGCGTGAGCCACCGCGCCCGGCCCTTTGCAATAGTTAAATTTAAGCCACTTGTATTAATTGTTGTAATTGGAATGTTTGTTCATATTTATATTATCTTACTTTGTTTTCCATTTACTGTTTATTTCTTTCTGTGTTATTTTCTTTGTTCTTTTTCCTCGGATTACTTAGAACCTAAATTTTATTTACATTCTGCTAGTGTTTACCTTTTTACCAATTATTTAAAATTTATTTTATTTATATCCTGCTACTATTTGTATACCTATTTTATATACAGATTAAACATATATATAATATATGTATATGAACTTTTAACATAGTATATTTTCCCCATATTCTACCCCCACATCTTAATTTTTATTCAATAATCTAATAAATAGTAAAATATCATGTTATTATTAAAACTTCTTGGTTATGACATCTGAAAATTCCTTTTAATTTTGATTGGTATAGAATTCAAAGGACCTGCCAAGCGCAGTTGTGTGTGCCTATAATCCCAGCTTCTCAGAATTCCGGCTGAGGCAAAGGGATCCCTTGAGCTCGGGAGTTCAAGACCAGTCTGGACAATGTTGTGAGACCTTGTCTCTAAATTTTAAAAAAGAGTTCAAAGGACCCAATCCCTTTACCTCAGAGCTCTATAAAATTGCTCTACTTTTTCAATTTCTATTTAGTGTTGCAGATGAGACATTCAAAGCTAATCTGATTCTCTTTCCTTTATAGGTAGAGGACTAGACTTTTCTTTTAGGTGCTTATAAGTATTTCTTGTTATTCTTTGAATTTAGAAATGTCACCAGGAAATGTCTGTATCTGTCTTTGTTAAATTCTGTCTGGAACTTAGTTAGCCGTTATAATCTGAAAACCAACGTTTTTCTTCAGATGAAGAATAGTTTTCTTCTTTTGTTTAATTGTTGTATTTTCATCTATTCTGTTTTCTTCATGAGGAATGATATATGTTTATTCTGTTTCTCTTAGGACTATTCTTCTCATATTCTATCTTTGCTCTCATATTTACATCTTTTGTACTTTTTCCTCTGAATTTTGTACTTTCTTGATCTGGTCCTCCAATCCTCCAATTGAATTACATGACTTTCAGCAGCATCAGTTTCTAGATTAGCAATTAAGTTTTTCATAGCTGAGGATTATCATATTCTGGGATTGCTTCCTTTCCCAGTAATCTGCACTTGTTAACTAATGCAGTATCCTTTTGAATGTCATTGAGAAATGAAATGGTATAAACATATCTTTTAAAATATCTACTCTTCCCTGTAGAAATTCCCCTGGAGACCGCCATGCTAAGGAATTTATACTCAGTCCCTGAAGAAGTAGCATGATTGGTTCTGCTCTTTAGAACCATCACTTAGGCCTAAGTAGGAGAATAGTTCCTAGGGACACTATACTGGAGACAAGAAGTCCACTTAGGAGGCTTCTACAATAATTCAAATGAAAATCTTGGTGCATCGACAGAGATTGGAAGTCAGAGTCAGCTTTTAAGGCTGTTTGGTTTAAAAAGATGAAGAAAACCTGATGATTGGATATAGATCGTAATACAAAGGAAAGCCTCTCTTTTGAGCCATGTTTCAGGTTTGGATAACTGAGTAATATCGTTCTCTACAAGAGGATAGGAAAGAAACAAGCAAGAAGCAAGGAAAAAAGTATATTCCCTTTTTCACACTAATTACAAGCGACCTGCAGGCCATCCAAGTGTGAGGACATCTACTGTTGGAAATACTGATTTGGAACTCAGGAGAGAAAAGTCAGCTAGAATTAATAGATAAAGTTAATAGATTAATTAATAATCTGCCTGAAGGAGGTCATAAGAGTGAAAGAGATCAACCTATAAAAGTCTGTATTCTTAGAAAGAAAAAGGACTAAGGATGGCTGTCTTGCAATAGTTTTTTCTGGAATTATGAAGGAATAGAAACAGTATATGGCCATCACTATTTGTACAGAGATTCATGCAAATCTAATTGGGGTTTTTCCTTGATTGAAAATGTACAGTGGCACATATTCTGGTCTTCATGATACATTTAGAGTATAAGGGAGCTTTTTGAAAAGCTCGTTTCTATGGACCAATATAATCTGTAGTCTCATCCTGAAAGTGCTTTTCAGAATGCTTTCCAGCTCCTCTGTGATTAGTCAGCATCTAGTCTGGTACTTTGGACTAAATCAAAGGATAAAGGGGGCCTGGTGCAGTGGCTCATGTCAGTACTCCTGGCACTTTAGGAGGCCGAGGCAGGAGGACCACTTGAGCTTAAGAGGTCAAGGCTGCAGTGAGCCATATGTACTCCAGCCTGGGCAATAGAGTGAGACCATGTCTCAAAACAATATAAACATTTAAAAAATCAAAAAAAGGATAAGGGGGCAGTTACTAGGAAGGCTGTCTGGGATGTGGGAGTCACAGAGCTGAGATAAAATAATAGTCTGAAGAACCACTGTACCAACAGAAAGCATATACTGCATTGCAAGGAAGAGAATCCCAGAAGCAAAGAACCGAGGAAGTCAAACGAATAGGTTGTTAAATCAGCTGGTGGAACTATGAACCAAATAAATGCAGAAGGGACCTGCTGGGTGGTCAGAAGCAAGCTGAAGCTGGGTTGTAGGAGGTCCAGGAACTAATTTCACCTGTGGGGTCTGTTGGGCCATTATGGTATTCCTTATATACATGGCTCAGTGCCTAAGAGGGTGTTCTTAGAGAACCTAGGCATACTAGACCAGGAAATTAGTGCTGGTCCATGCATGTGGCTTATTAATGGTTTCCACCTTCTATTTCTATTTAGGGTTGCAAAGTTGTTGGAGCAGTAGGGTCTGATGAAAAGGTTGCCTACCTTCAAGAGCTTGGATTTGATGTTGTCTTTAACTACAAGACAGTAGAGTCTTTGGAAGAAACCTTGAAGAAAGCCTCTCCTGATGGTTATGATTGTTATTTTGATAATGTAAGTACAAACTGGACTTAACATCTGATTTATTAATGAAGTACTATATAAGGCAGGAGTCCCCTACCCCGGGCCATTTAGGGGTCCATAGCCGACCAGGAACTGGGCTGCACAGCAGGAGGTGAGGGGCAGGTGAGCAAGCAAAGCTTCATCTGTATTTACATCCCCTCCCCATCGCTCCCATTACTGCCTGAGCTCCGCCTCCTGTCAGATCAGCAGTGGCAATAGAGTCTTATAGGAACACAAACCCTGCTGTGAACTACACATGTGAGGGATCTAGGTTGTGCATTCCTTATGGGGATCTAATGCCTGATGATCTGTCACTGTCTCCCATCACCCCCAGATGGGACTGTCTAGTTGCAGGAAAACTCACCCACCGATTCTATGTTATGGTGAGTTGTATAATTATTTCATTATATATTACATTGTAATAGTAATAGAAATAAAGTACACAATAAACACAGTATACTTGAATCATCCCGGAAACTATCCCCCCATAGTTGGTGGAAAAATTGTCTTCCAGTGAAACTGGTCCCTGGTGCCAAAAAGTTGGGGACTGCTGATATAAGGGAATATATTTCTAGAGTTTCCATCTGGGATACATGAAGAAAGTATATATGCCTTTTTAAAAAAGCAGCTTTATTGAGATATTATTCATGCATCATGTAATTCACTCATTTAACGTGTAGAAGTCAATGTTTTTTACTATATTGGCAAAATTGTGCAACCAGTTTAGGAATATTTTCATCAGCCCAAAAAGAAATACTACTCATTAGCAGCCACTCTCCATTACTCACCCTCCTCCCCACTGAAAGTGGTCTTCTATGACTGGCTTCTTTCACTTAGAAAAATGTTTTCGAGTTTCATTCATGTTGTAGAATTTATCGGTGCTTTATTCCTTTGTTTTTTTGAGACAAGGTGTCACTCTGTCACCTAGGCTGGAGTGCAGTGGTACAATCATGGCTCACTGCAGCCTCGATCTCACTGGCTCAAGCGATCCTTCCACCCCAGCCTTCCAAGTAGTTGGAACTGCAGGCATGTGCCACCATACCCTACTAATTTTTATATTTTTAGTAGAGACGGGTTTCACCATGTTTCCCAGACTGGTCTGGAACTCCTGGGCTCAAGCAATCCTCCCACCTCAGCCTCCTGAAGTGCTGGGATTACAGGTGTGAGCCACCGCACCCAGCCTGATGGTTATTAGTTTATGATTTCTAGCTACTATGTATAATGTTACTACGAACATTCAGGCAGAGGTTTCTGTGTGGACATTTTGATTTCTCTTAAGTATATACCTATGAGTAGAATTGCTAGATCATATGATAACTTCATGTTTAACATTTTGAGGAGTTGCCAAACTGTTCTGCAAAGTGGCTACACTACTTACATTCCCGCAAGCCATGTATGAGTGTTCCAATTTCTCTACATGCTCACCAACACTTGCTATTGTCCGTCTTTTTTATTATAACCATCCTAGGGAGTGTGAACTGATTTTTCATTGTGATTTGATTTTGACTTGCATTTCCCTATGGCTAACAATATTGAGGATCTTTCAATGTATGTATTTGCCATTTGTATATCTTCTTTGGAGAAATGTCTGTTCAAAATCTTTGCCCTTTTTTTTTCAATTAGGTTATTTGTGAAGTTGTAAGGTTTTTGTTAGTTTTGTTTTGTTTTGTTTGTTTGTTTGACAAAGTTTTTTGCTCTGTCACCCAGGCATGGAATGCACTGGTGCAACCTCAGCTCATTGCAACCTCCACTTCCTGGGTTCAAGCAATTCTGCCTCAGCCTCTCAAGTAGTTGGGATTATAGGTGTGTGCCACCACACCCAGATCATTTTTGTATTTTTAGCAGAGACAGAGTTTCACCATATTGCCCAGGCTGGTCTCAAACTCTTGACCTCAGATGACTGCCTGCCTCCCAAAGTTCTGGGATTATAGCCACGAGCCACCACGCCTGGCCAAGAACTCTTTACATCTTACAGATACAAGTCCCTTTATCAAATTCAGTGGATTTTCATTATTCGCAATATTTATGTTCTATAAATTTGCCACCAAGGCTGAACCATTGCTTCTAGGGGAAATATGTACATGTATGTACATATCTCACATAGATTATAATCTTTTTTTTTTTTTTTTTGAGATGGAGTGAGTTTTCGCTCTTGTTACCCAGGCTGGAGTGCAATGGCGCGATCTCAGCTCACCACAACCTCCGCCTTCTGGGTTCAGGCAATTCTCTTGCCTCAGCCTCCTGAGTAGCTGGGATTACAGGCACGCGCCACCATGCCCAGCTAATTTTTTGTATTTTTGGTAGAGACGGGGTTTCACCATGTTGACCAGGATGGTCTCAATCTCTTGACCTCGTGATCCACCCGCCTCGGCCTCCCAAAGTGCTGGGATTACAGGCGTGAGCCACCGTGCCCGGCGATTATAATCTTAAATCTTTAAAACAACTCATCCTAGGAGCTTTTATTTTACAAAAGAGGAAAAGAAGTTCAGAAGTGTTAATTAAGTACCTTACTTGTGGCCTCCCCACTAGCTAATATCCCCAGAGTTGGGATTCATACCCCATCCAACTCTTCTCGGAACCAGAGTCTCTTGAACTACACTGCAGTGCCCCCATCCTCTGGTTATCTCTGAATGAGAATTGAAATAAGAAGGCAGAGCATGGTCTTGGTCAGCCTCACAGAACATCTGCATCTTTTCACTGCTCCATGTATGCCTGCAAGTGACCAGGGAAAGCTTAGTGAGTATTGGTTTGAGGTTACAAATAAAATTTTAGCAAGTAGTTCACAATATGCAAATATGAAATCCACTAATAATGAGGACCAACTGTATATGGCTTGCAAATATTTTCTCCTATTCAGTGAATTGCCTTTAACATTCTTTTTTTTGTTTTTGTTTTGAGACTAGATCTCACCGTGTCTCCCAGGCTGGAGTGCAGTGTGTGATCACAGCTCACTGCAGCCTTGACCTCCCAGGTTCAAGAGATCCTCCTGCCTCAGCCTCCCAAGTAGCTGGGACCACAGACATGCACCACCATACCCAGCTAATTTTTAATTTTTTTGTAGAGATAGAGTCTCACTATGTTGCCCAGGCTGGCTTTCACTTACTTGATGGTATTCTTTGAAGCATAAAAGTTTTAAATTTTGATGAAGCCCCATTAATCTATTTTTCTTTTGTTCCTTGAGCTTTTGGTGTCATGTCAAGAAGGCTTTTCCTTTCTCAGGGTCATGAAGATTTATTCCTATGTTTTCTTCTAAGAGTTTTATAGTTTTCGCTCTTATATTCAGGTCTATGATGCATTTTAAGTTAATTTTTGTGTGTAGTATAAGGAAGAGGCCCAATTGCATTCTTTTCCATGTGGAAATCTAGTTGTTCTGTACCATTTGTTGAAAGGACTATTTTTTTCTCTATTGAACTGCTTTAGCACTTCCATAGAAAACCAGTTGATCATAAATTTAAGGGTTCATTTTTGGACTCACGATTCAGTTCCATTGATCTAGATTTCTATTCTCACACTACCTTAATTTAGCTTTGTATTAAGTTTTATAATTGAAAAGTGTCAGTCCTCCAACTTTGTCCTTTATATACCTTTTGAATACATTTCCATAGTTTTAATTATAGGACAATGAGGTTATAGGACTGATCAGAGAACCTCAATATATAATAAAGTAAAATATATAAGTTATAAAAGATATGTTCTTAGAGTCAAATGAAAATGCCTCTTTCTTTTTTCTTTCTTTTTTTCTTGAGAGAGAGTCTCACTCTGTTACCAGGCTGGAGTGCCGTGGTGTGATCTCAGCTCACTGCAACCTCCACCTCTGGGGTTCAAGTGATTCTTCTGCCTCAACCTCCCAAGTAGCTGGGATTGAGGGCATGCACCATCACACTGAGCTAATTTTGTATTTTTAGTAGAGACAGGGTTTTACCATGTTGGCCAGGCTGGCCTCGAACACCTGACCTCAGTAGATCCACCCACCTCAGCCTCCCATAGTCTTGGGATTACAGGTGTCTGGTCAAAAATGCCAATTTCTAATGTCTTTTTTTAACCGAAATCTTCTGCACTGTTTGGCTAATTCAATCAGTTTTGTTGCTGCTAAAACAGGTATTGTAAAATAATGATTGTGGCTTAATGATTCTCCTGAATCTTCTAGTATTTACATTATTTGACATTTTGTCTTTGGTTTTATTTTTCCTGTCTGTTTAGGTAGGTGGAGAGTTTTCAAACACTGTTATCTCACAGATGAAGAAATATGGAAGAATTGCCCTATGTGGAGCCATCTCTACATATAACAGGACCGGCCCACTTCCCCCAGGTAATGAGCACATGCACATGATCCCACATGTCACAAGGCTGGACAAGGAGAATCACTTGAACACAGGAGGTGGAGGTTGCAGTGAGCTGAGATCACACCACAGCACTCCAGCCTGGTAACAGAGCAAGACTCTCTCTCAAGAAAAAAAGAAAGAAAAAAGAAAGAGGCATTTTCATTTGACTCTAAGAACATACCTTTTATAACTTATACATTTGACTTTATTATATATTGAGGTTCTCTGATCAGTCCTATAACCTCATTGTCCTATAATTAAAAGTATGGAAAAGTATTCAAAAGGTGTATAAAGGACGAAGTTGGAGGACTGACACTTTTCAATTTCAAAACTTAATACACATATGCCATAGGCCAGTGACTCTGAAAATACTAGAAAGATTTTCTTATATTCTTTTTTTTTTTTTTAAAGGTAGAGTCCCACTTTGTGAAAGCTTAGGAGTTTGAGATCAGCCTGGGCAACATGGCAAAACTCAGTCTGTACAAAAAATACAAAAATAAGTCGGGCATGGTGGTGTGCACCTGTAGTCCCAGCTACTCAAGAGGCTGAGGTAGGAAGACTGCTTGAGCCTGGGAGGCTGAGGCTGCAGTGAGCTGTGTTCATGCCACTGCACTCCAGCCTGGGTGACAAAGTGAGAGCCTGTCTCAAAATAGCAACAACAAAAGAAATAAAATATATATACAATTTCATATATTTTGTGCTAATTAAGCTTATATTAGATTTTTATATAGAGAAATAGCAGGATCTACAAATATAAAAGAAACAGTTATTAAAAGTTTCAGTTGCTGGGCACAGTGGCTCACACCTGTAATCCCAGCACTTTGTGAGGCTGAGGCAGGCGGATCACGAGGTCAGGAGATCAAGACCATCTTGGCTAACACGGTGAAACCCTGTCTCTACTAAAAATACAAAAAATTAGCTGGGCATGGTGGCATGCGCCTGTAGTCCCAGCTACTCAGGAGGCTGAGGCAGGAGAGTCGCTTGAACCCGGAAGGCAGAGGTTGCAGTGAGCTGAGATTACACCACTGCACTCCAGCCTGGGTGACAGAGACTCCATCTCAAAAAAAAAAGAAAAAAAAAGTTTTAGTTTTTACGTATCATTCAATGGAAAGTTGTAAAAAGACAGCAATGATTTGATTTAGAAACAGAACACCTTGGTCTGGCTAGTAAAATATGCAGGTTCTTCTGGATATTAGAGACATGCTGGAGGTCGGGGAGGGGTAAAGGGTGACTTGCTGTGGGTGAAGGGAAGGGCAGGCTGCCATGTCTTTCAGAAATCTTGGGCAGTGCTTCTTGGGGCACTAAGGCACCTTGGCCTCAGCAGGCTGGCGATTGTCACTAAAATGGAAGGAAGCAGCAGTACCCCTCCATTCCTTGACTGTCCTTGTTTTATTTCTCTGGTGCTCTACCATGCACTCCATTCCCCACTCCCTACTCTCTTATGCTGAAACCACGCCCCTCCGACTCCACAATCGCAGAGGTCCAAAGGCAGTGTCTACCAGAGAACCATATTCATTAAATCCCAGTCCTGTGAGATGCCTTGTACAGGCCTCTCATTTTCCAGGTGGGGAGATGCATGGCTGAGACAACCACAGACTCTTTGAACTCCTATTGGTAACAGACTTGAAACAAAGACCAGTCTTCTAGGCTATACGGAGTCTGTTTCTGCTACAGTGATTATTGTGCTGTTAAGAGAAATCACATATAACCTGTGGTCCCCTAAAAAATGGAGAAAGAAGGAAAAAAAGGAATCTTCCAGACTCTAATCAGGATCCAGGCAACCATAAATCAGTTGGTTATTTATTCTATGATGGGCTTGACTAATGGAAATGAAACCTTATAGCCCCACTAGTTAACAACCCCACAACTGTAGGGAGACAGGTGGGCTAGAAAGGAAGGAGCTGACGAAGGGCAACTGGTAGATTCCCTCTCAGGTTGTAAAAAATCAAAACCGTTAACAGGAAGGAAACTCCAGATGTACTTGGCAATCTTATTGTTAGGGACTTTTTTCCCCCTGTAATTTTCTAACTGGTGCTAATCTGGAATCATGGGAAATCATCTGCCTGCCAGCTGAGCAAAGCTGCAGGAGGCCTTTTCTTAACCACAGTCCAATTAGGAATAGCCAAATGTTTTGGATACAGCAACTTGATCTAGTCTTTTCAGCAATTAGTCTTTGGAAGCTCAGCTGCTCAGACAGGACTTTGAGATGACAGCTGGCCTTGTCCATTCTATTTTAATCAGATGGAATTCTACCCTGCCACAGATCCCCGGAAGTTCTAACATATTCCACTGATAGGATAGCTCAGAGGCAAGCAATGATTTCTTCCAGCTTTAATGCCACATTTGCTTTTTTGTTCTTAGTAAAAAAAACAAAAACCAACATTCCCATCAATATGCAGAAACCCAGAAATAGCATCTCACTTTCATTTTGCTTTTTTGTTTGTTGGTTTGTTTGTTTTGAGACAAGGACTCTGTCTTCCAGACTGGAGGTTTTTTTTAATTTTAATTTTTATTTTTTTGAGACAGGGTCTCACTTTGTTGCCCAGGCTAGAGTACAGTAGTACAGTCATGTATCACTGCAGCCTCCATCTCCTGGGCTCCAGTGATCCTCCCACCTCAGCCTTCTGAGTAGCTGAGACTACAGACAGGTGCCACCATACTGGCTAGTTGTTATTTCTTTCGTAGAGATGAGGTCTTTCTGTGTTGCCCAAGCTGGTCTCGAACACCTGAGCTCAAGTGATCCTCCCACTTTGCCTCCCAGATTGCTGGTTATTACAGGCGTGAGCCACCATGCCCAGCCCACTTTCATGTAATATGAGGACATGAGAGTTCCAATCCTCAACTCACAAAGGATAGTTGATGTGAGTCTTCTGAAGAAGCATTCTTTCCGTCTCATTCATCTTGCATTAGTTTCTTTTGGTTCAGGATAAAGCTTCATATTTCTGACTGCTAATGTTACTTTCCTCAAAGTAGTGAGTAGGAATTTAGGCTGAGCAGTGCCAGTGATCAAAGATGCTGAAGCTAGATTCCACCACTCATCATAGCACAATTGGCTCTGATATTCCCGAGGCATCTTCGCCTGACTTTCTGGAACTTGAAAGCCTATCCTCAGGTGTCATTCTCTCAGTTTCTAGTCAGTTAGGACACTTGGGAAAATAAACCAGACAACCAAGAGACTTTTTCTTCCTCACACACAGAAGGGTAGTACCTTCTTTACAGGCTGCAAGAGAGCTGTGTGCTTTTTCTGAGGTGCTGGTTCTCAAAGTGGGGACAAGGACTAGCAGCATCACGGTCTCCTGCGAGCTTGTTAGAAATGCAAATTCTTAGCCAGGCGCAGTGGTTCATGCCTGTCATCCCAACACAACACTTTGGGAGGCCGATGCAGGAGAATCACTTGAGCCTAGGAGTTTGAGACCAGGGCAGTAGAATGAGACCTCATCTCTGTCAAAAGAAACCTAAAAAAATTAGCCAGGTGTGGTGGCATGCACGTGGAGTCCCAGCTACTTGGTAGGTTTAGGTGGCAAGATCGCTTGAGCCCAGGAGACAGAGGTTGTGGTGAGCCAAGATCGTGCCACTGCATACTAGACTGGATGACAGAGCAAGACCCTGCCTCAAAAATAAAAAGGAACACAAATTCTTGGGGCCCACCCTAGACACAGTCAGAAATTGGCAGAGGGGCCCAGCAATCTCTTTCCAAAAGACTTCCATGTGATTCTGAAACACACTAAGGTTTGAAATCCACTGTCTGGCTGACTCTTGGCATCCTGAAATAGCCAGGGTGGGAGCAGGTGTGAGAGCTGCTGAGTCTCCTGATGCAGTCTGTCTCCCTGGCCCCTAGGCTGGGCATGGACACGTAATTGTTTTACATCTCACAGAAAGAAATAGATTTATGCCATAGAATGACTGTATTAAAGCATCAGGAAGAGGCTGCCAAGTATTGGGAATATGAGGGTATTATTAATTCTTGAGGAGTGTAGAACATTTTTATATCTTCGGGGCCTCTTTCTGTTTCATAAAATTAGTTGGAAAGTGTTTGGCGAACCTTGTTTCTGACACATGAGCGATAAATGCTCCCTGGTTGCCCAGCCTGTGCAAGGACTCTGAGTGTGTATAACTATTGCTGCTGTAACAAATTACCACAAATTTAGTGGCTTAACACAATACAAATTTGCTGGGCACCGTGCTTCATGCCTGTAATCCCATCTCTTTGGGAGACTGAGGTGGGAGGATCACTTGAGCCCAGGAGCCCGGGCTCGAAACAATTTTTTTTTATAATTTTTTTTTTTTTTTTTTGGTAGAGATGGGGTCTCATTATGTTGCCCAAGATCAGACTGGGCAACAGAATGAGATCATGTCTCTACAAATAATTTTTAAAAATTAGCTGAGCATGGTTGTTCTGTGCCTGTAGTCCCAGCTACCTAGGGGACTGAAGTGAAAAGATCACTTGAGCCAGGAGGTCGAGGCTACATTTGTAGAGCCTCAGCCCTACAGGGTCGTGGGCTGTCCCCTATAGCTGTGCCGAGGCACAGGATCCGAGACGTAAAGAGACAGGACACAGAAGGACTGGAAAAGACAGCTGGACTCAGGGGGCCACGCCGCCTTTGAGCGGAGACAGGCGAGGCCCCGAACATCCAGAAGCATCTGTATTTATTGGGTACAAGGCAGGGGGAAGGGTCGTAAGTGAGGTCTTCTGTAGGCTTAATGATAGGGCATACATAATCACGTGAGTAGCAGGAGAGCAGGCCACCCCATTATGTCACCTGGGCAGAGAGGTGGGGCGTGCACAGTAGTAGAGGGTCGTGTACAGAAAAGGGGTCCACCCCCATTAGGTCACAGAGACAAGGACGTGGGCTGTGTGCAACAGGTGTCATGTGCAACACTTCTTATCTGGGGGCTGGAGACTTCAAAGGATTCTTATAGAAAGATACTGTAAACCAATGCAGTAGGAGCTGACAAGACTTATGCTCTTCTCTAAGATATTTTATGGGAGGATGATTTGAGCTAGCACAGAAGCGAGAAAAGGCTGGCAGGGTGTACAGCTGCCATGACCCCGTCACACCAGAGAGCTTCTTCACCCTCAGTTATTTGCAGGATCTCAGGCCTGAGGCCTACTTTCCACAGGAACTGGATGCAAGGTACTACAACTCTTTTTTCAGGAGGGGAGGCTCTTCCTCCAAGCCTGCCGTACAGCGCATGCCCTTTCAGGCAGGGACGCACCACGTGGGTCTTTGGTTCTTGTCCTGGTCTGGCTGTTTTCCCATGTACTGCGTCTATTCTGTGACTGCACTAGGCATTCCTTCTACTACAAACTATTATATGGTTATGTAGAAGGATTCTATAAATCAGCACTAAATGTGTCGGTACAGATCCAACTATAATACCTATATGATTATATAGAAAGATTATATGGAACTAAGTATGCTAGATATAAGTACTAAATATGATTATATAAGCTAGTATATGTAAGCAGTAAGTTATACTTCAGTCACTAATTCTATAAACAAATATATGATTATATATAAAGGATTATATAAAGGAAATAGCTGAGTAATAACACTATAAACTAAGATATTCTTCAGGCACTAGTTGTGCCTGGGGTCTGAACAGTTCTCCTTCCTCGGTGCCCATGTCGGGGGTTACCCACAACATTGAGCTGTGATGGCTCCACTGTACTCCAGCCTGGGGAACAGACCCAGACCCTGTCTCAAATTAAAAACAAAAACAGAAAGAAACAAACAAAAAAAACACCCACACATTTATTCTTTTGTGTTTGTTTTCTTTTTGAGACCAAGTCTCGCTCCGTCACCCAGGCTGGAGTACAGCAGTACAATCTCAGTTCACTGCAGTCTCTGCCTCCTGGCTTCAAGTGATTCTCCTGCCTCAGCTGCTTGAGTAGCTGTGATTACAGGCATGTGCCACCACGCCCAGCTAATTTTGGTTTTTTTAGTAATGACGGGATTTCACCATGTTGGCTGGGCTGGTCTCGAACTCCTGACCTCAAGTGATCTGCCCTTGAACACCTGACTATGTGATTCACCCACCTCAGCCTCCCAAAGTGCTGGGATTACAGGAATGAGCCACGGCGCCCCACCTAAGGTTCTTATTCATATCTGCAAAGTCCTTTTTGCCACGTAAGGTAACAGGTTCTGGGGTTTTGGGATATGCACATCTTTGGGGCCATTATTCTGCCTGCCACAGAGTGCATGTTGATTGGTCAGCAGTCCTGTGGATCAGCAAGGAGTGAGGAAATGGAAGGGGAGAAGCACCAAGAAACACCCAGCGCCAAGCACAGTGACAGTGATCTGTACTGCTGTGTTTCACCATGGCCACTTCCCTGGATCCTGTCACCCAAATGTGCCCTTCTCTTCACAGGCCCACCCCCAGAGATCATTATCTATCAGGAGCTCCGCATGGAAGGGTTCATTGTCCACCGCTGGCAAGGAGATGCCCGCCAAAAAGCTCTGAAGGACTTGCTGAAATGGGTCTCAGAGGTAAGGAGCTCTGGAGCCACCCCTTCCAGTTACAAGGCTTTCCCTTTTGCGTCTCAAGGCTTTTGTTCCACCAATTCTTCCCTCTCTCTACTGCATCGTCAGTTTTTCCCTAGTGGGCCATTGTCCTTAGAATATAAATATTCTTACTGTTCCCATCTTTGAAAGGAAAACAAAACAGCCCTCTCTAAAGCTCATTTCCACTACAAATGAAGGTCCATTTCCCTTCTCTCGCTTTTATAACAAAATGCCTGGAAGTGCTGTCTACATTCGCTGTCTGCTGTTCGTTTCTTTCCATTCTTCCTGGAACCCACATATCAAGCTTTTGCACATGCCATTCCTTCCAAAATTACTTTTTTGTTTTTGAGACAGAGTCTCGCTCTGTTGCCCAGGCTAGAGTGCAGTGATGCATTCTTGGCTCACTGCAACCTTTTCCTCCTGGGGTCAAGCCATTCCCATGCCTCAGCTTCCCCAGTAGCTGGAACAACAGGCGTGCACTACCACGCCAAGCTAACTTTTTGTATTTTAGTAGAGACGGGTTTTCATCACATTGGCCAGGCTGGTCTCAAGTGATATGCCCGCCTCAGCCTCCCAAATTGCTGGGATTATAGGCATGAGCCACCGCACCTGGCCAAAATTAACTTTCGTCAAGGTCACAGGGGTCTCTTACAGAATGAAATCCACTGGCTGATTCTTAGCCTCACTGGGCTATGGGAAATATTTAACAATGTTCATTCTCTCCTTGATATGCTTTCTTCTGTTGTTTCCCTTAACTCTCGGTTTTCCTCACTGGTTGGTCCTCCTCAGACTCCTGCTAGCTTCTTTTCTTTTCTCCAAATTAGTATTAGAGTGCCCCAAGTCATGGTCACTGGGGCTCTTTTCTTCTCTGTCCACACTCGAGCTAGCCCTTAATGAGCTCATCTAGGCTTAGTATCCTGGGAGCTCCCAGCTCTATCTCCAGCCTGGCTCTCCTCTTAACTCTAGACTAGTATGTCCACCTGGATGCCTGATAGGCATCTCTGACATAACATATTGAAAATGAAATATATTTTTATCTTTCCTGCTCAACATGATCCATATTCAGACTTTACTATCTCAGTTGTAACAATTCTACACTTCTAATTTCTCAATCCCAAAACCTTGGAGTCATCTTCGATGTCTTTCTCTCGTACTCATGTGTAATCTCTAAAGACATTCTGGTGGCTCTGTCTTCAAAGTATACACAGGATCTGAACACTTCTCCCACCTCCCTGCTACCACTCTGATCCAGGCACCATGCTGTCTAGCCTGGATGTTTGTAGTGGACTCTACCTGGCCTGCCATCTTTGCACCCCCATAGACAATTCCCAATGTGGTGGCCACAGTGATCTTTTAAAGCACAAATCAAATCCTGTCGTTCTTATGATCCAAACCATGCAAAGCTCTGCATTTCACTTAGAGTAAACCAAAGTGCTAATATTCAGCAGGCTTGCACAAAATCTGACCCCTGATACCTCTCTGATTCCATTTCTTAGCATTCACCCCCTTGTTTACTTGGCCCAGTCCCCACCATTCCACCCCTCTGTAACTGCTTGCTGAATTCTCTCATGTCCTGCAAGTCTTTGCTAAAAAGTGCCTTTTGGACTGGGCACAGTGGCTCACACCTGTAATCCCAGCACTTTGGGAGGCCGAGGTGGGCAGATTATGAAGTCAAGAGATTGAGACCATCCTGGCCAACATGGTGAAACCCCATCTCTACTAAAAATACAAGAATTAGCTGGGCATGGTGACACGCACCTATAGTCCCAGCTACTCAGGAGGCGGAAGCAGGATAGTCATTTGAACCCTCGAGGCAGAGGTTGCAGGGAGCCGAGATCACACCACTGCACTCCAGCCTGGCAACAGAGCAAGACTCCATCTCAAAAAAATAGTACCTTCTGGGTGAGGCAACTTTTTAAATGACCCTGTTGTAAGTTGCAATCCCTCTTCATTCTTGATCCTCCATATCCTCCCCCCGACCTTTTTTTTTGAGACAGGGTCTCACTCAGACACCCAGGGTGGTGGAGTGGCACGATCATGGCTCACTGCAGTCTTGACCCAGGCTCAGGTGATAATTTTCAAACCTTACACCATGTGAAGTTTTGGTCAACAGAAATTTGAACAAGTTACATTATTTAGTTTTGCAGGGTAAAAATGATATCATGTTTTCTGATTCCTGGCCAATGATCATTTCCCAGTTCAAAGAAATAGATTGCTCCTCCAGCAGCCACTGGAGTTTGGCACTCTTCCCAGTCTAGCATTTGGAAGGCCAGGCTGGGCTCTCTCCAGGGAGCTGGAAAGAGCTGAATTTAAGTTGTCCTGGTTGGTGAAATCCAATGTAGCGCATCCATGATCACAGTTGACAATAAGAAACCACTGTGCTGGTGTCCCCAAGGCTTCCTTCTAACAAAGTGAAGCTGATCACAATTAGTTGGTTTTTTTGTTTTGTTTTGAGATGAAGTCTTGCTCTGTCACCCAGGCACAATCCCGGCTCACTGCAACCTCTGCCTCTGGGGTTCAAATGATTCACCTGCCTCAGCCTTCCGAGTAGCTGGGATTACACCACTCCGGGCTAACTTTTTGGATTTTTAGTAGAGATAGGGTTTCACCATGTGGGCCAGACTGGTCTCAAACTCCTGACCTCAAGTGATTCTCCTGCCTCGGCCTCCCAGAGTTCTGGGGTTAGAGGCATGAGCCATCGCACCTGGACCTAGTTGGGTTTTAAGTAATGAGTTGGCCTAATTTCTTTCTCATCCTCCCTTTTTAATCTCATTTCCTATTTTTAAAAATTCACTTTTTATTTTAGAAAAGTTTTAGGCTGGGTACGGTGGCTCATACTATAATCCCAGCACTTTGGGAGGGTGATGAAGGCGGATTGCTTGAGCCCAGGAGTTTGAGATCAGCCCTGGCCACATAATGAAACTCTACAAAAAACAAAGAGTAAAAAAAGTTAGTTGGGTGCATCGGTGCATACCTGTAGTCCCAGCTACTTGGGAGGCTGAGGTGGGAGGATCACCTGAGCCCAAGAATTCAAGGGTTGCAGTGAACTCTGAATGCGCCACTGCACTCCAGCCTTGGCAGTAGAGCAAGATGCTGTCTCAAAAACAAAAATAAAAATAGAAGTTTTAGATTTATAGGAAAATTGAGACGATAGTCCAGAGAGCTTTCATATACGCTGCATCCTGTACCCTAATTTCCCCTATTATTAACATTTTACATTAATATTTGTATTCGTTTGCTAGGTCTACCAAAATAAAGTACCATACGCTGGGTGGCTTAAACAACAAATTAATTTTCTCCCAGTTCTGGAGGCTAGAAGTCCAAGATCAAGGTGTCAGCAGCGTTGTTTCTTTGGAGGCCTCTCTCTTTTTGACGTGTAGTTGGCTTCCTTCTCCCTGCATCTTCATGTGGCCTTCTCTCTGTGTGTCTGTCCTAATCTCCTTATAAACACACCAGTCATATTGATTAGGGCCCACCCATATGACCTTGTTTTACCTTAATTACATTTTCTTTTATTTTCCTTTTTCTTTTTTTTTGAGATGAAGTTTCCCTCTTGTTGCCCAGGCTGGAGTGCAATGGTGCAATCTCACTGCAACCTCTACCTCCCAGGTTCAAGCGATTCTCCTGCCTCAGCCTCCCAGCTAGCTGGGATTACAGGTGCATGCCACCATGCCTGGCTAATTTTCATATTTTTAGTAGAGACAGGGTTTCACCATAGTAGCTAGGCTGGTCTCGAACTCCTGACCTCAGGTGATCCACCTTCGGTCTCCCAAAGTGCTGGGATTAGAGATGTGAGCCACTGTACCCAGCCTCTTAATTACCTTTTTAAAAGCCGTATCTCCCAATATAGTCCCATTGTCAGGCACTGGGTGATTAGGATTTAAATGTATGAATTTGGTTGGAGGTACACAGTTCAGTCCATAATAGTATTCATTCTCTATTTTAACCTCTGAAGTGGAGTCTACCTTTCCACCCTATCCAGATTCCTTGCTGCTTCAAGAACAAGAATGAATTGGGGCTTTTAAGTCAAAAGTTCAGATCTCAGCCAGGCGCAGTGGCTCATGCTTGTAATCCTAGCACTTTGGGAGACTGAGGTGGGCAGATCACTTGAGCATAGGAGTTTGAGACTAGCCTGGACAACTTAGCAAGACCCCATCTCTACAAAAAATTTTAAAAATTAGCTGGGCATGGTGGCGTCTCCCTGTAGTCCCAGCTACTCAGGAGGCTGAGGCGGGAGGATCACTCGAGCCCAGGATGTTGAGGCTGCAGTGAGCTATGATTATGCCACTGCACTCAAGCCTGGGTGACAGAGTGAGACCCTGTCTCAAAATAATAATAATCATAATAAAAGTTTAAATATCAGCTTCCTTACTTTGTAATTGACTGACTTCAAGCAATTAATCTTATCTATAAATCCATAAAGGATGCTAAGCCATCAGTGGAATACATTAGGGAAAAACTTGTATCAGGTAACTCAGGTCTCTATATAAGACCTGTTAAAAAATCTGAAAATGTTGCCGGGCACGGTGGCTCACGCCTGTAATCCCAGCACTTTGGGAGGCCGAGGCGGGTGGATCACGAGGTCAAGAGATCGAGACCATCCTGGTCAACATGGTGAAACCCCGTCTCTACTAANAAAAAAAAAAAAAAATTGAGGTGGAAGCAAACTACTTTTTACCTGAAAAAATACAGATATATATCAAAGAAATGTGGAAAGGGAAGTGAGGCTTGTGTGGAGGTGAAGATCCTGACCCTGTGTCGGCCTAGACTCATGTGTGTGTTTGTGTTATAGCTTTTAACAAAAAAAAAAAAAAAAAAATCTGAAAATGTAAACTAGTTCCTGTTAGTAGGCAGTGCCTTGTAATAGAAAGAGAAATGAAGACCCTTCCTCACTAACATGAACGCTTCCTTCCCACACTCCCAGATAAAGGTTAAATACATGTTGAAAGAACCTTGGCTTAAAGGGGAGACAGATTATTAGACTGTCCTATTTATATTTCCTGAATAGGACCTGCCTCTTCAGGGGTCAAACAGAGGCAATGAAGGGTGCTCCTTTCTCTATTTCCACCTCCTCTGAGATCAGTGTTATTAAACTTTACTATGTATCTTACTTAGAAATTGCTTAACCACTGCCTTATGACATTTCCCACTGTGACCTGACACCTATTATTAAGTTCTTCTTAGGTGTGGTTTGTCATCGTTTACATGTACTGTGTAAGTGGATCTTTCCTCTCCTTGACTTCAAGTTCATGGAGAACAGGACCTCCATCTCTCATTTTCAGGGTTCCCAATGATGTACCTGATACGTTTGTTGCTAGGATGAGAACAGTATATCATTGAGAATACTAAATTAAGTTTAAAAATTTGTTGTTGCTTTGATACAGGGTAAAATCCAATGCAAGGAATATATCATTAAAGGATTTGAAAATATGCCAGCTGCATTTATGGGAATGCTGAAAGGAGATAATTTCGGGAAAACAATAGTGAAAGCATGAAAAAAAAGGACACATGGAATCTGGAGGCCACTTAGATGATTACTGAATTTGTTTTTCACCATTTAGCAAAAATGTATACTACCTTAAATGTCTAAGAAATAGTACTTGTAATGAGTTTGACCTGCTTAATAAAATACATTTAAGTGGTATGTCATTAGTGAAGGAGTGTGAAAATTTCACAGTCAACAACAACCCCAGTCACCTCACTGTTCACTACAGCTTCTTCTGAGCTGTGGTAGAAAATAATGGCTTTGGAGTGTGAAAGCTTACCAAACACTGCATGTTCTCACTCATAAGCGGGAGCTGAACAATGAGAACACATGGACACAGAGAGGGGAACAACACACACTGGGGCCTTTCAGGGGGGTAAGGGGAGGGAGAGCATCAGGATAACTAGCTAATGCATGTGGGGCTTAATATCTAGGTGATGGGTTGATAGGTGCCGCACATCACCATGACACACATTTACCTATGTAACAAACCTGCACGTCCTGCACAAGTATCCCAGAACTTAAAATAAAATTTAAAAAAAAAAGTTGGCCAGGTGTGATGGCTCACTCCGGTAATCCCAGCACTTTGGGAGGCCAAGGCGGGTGGATCACGAGATCAGGAGTTTGAGACCAGCCTGACCAACATGGTGAAACCCTCGTCTATATGAAAAATAGCTGGGCGTGGTGGTGTGCACCTGTAAAACCAGCTACTCAGGAGGCTGAGGCAGGAGAATCGCTTAAAGCTGGGAGGCAGAGATTGCAGTGAGCTGAGATCACGCCACTGCACTCCAGCCTGGGCAATAGAGTGAGACTCTGTCTCAAAAAAAAAAAAAAAAAGTTGACTGCTTCTGTCCGACTTCTGATTTTTCATCTTTAAAGTGAGGATAATAACATTTGTTTCATATACATGTTATACATTTATTTAAAACACCAACATAATGCCTGGCATATGTTAGCTACCTCCCTGCTGATATCCGTGATTTTGAAGTCTTAAGACTAACACCCCTATTGCATGTGATTATACCAGAAGAAATAATCACTGCAGGTGTATAGGCGTCTTAGGGCCAGTCCATACTGGTCCTCTACAGATGAGTCTAATTATATAACAGACCAAAGAAGGAATCTGCATTCACAAGAGCTACACAAAAGATAACACATGGGAATGTTTATACATCTACAAAAACGTGCAAGATTTATATGAAGAAAAATTTAAAACATTACTGAGGGGCCAGGTGTGGTGGCTCATGCTGGTAATCCCAGCTCTTTGGGAGGCCAAGGTGAGAAGATCATTTGAGCCCAGAAGTATGAGAGACCAGCCTAGGCAAGAACCTGTATCTGCAAAAAATTTAAAAATTAGTTGGGCATGGAGGTGTGTGCCTATAGTCCCAGCTACTTGGAAGGCTGAGGAAGGAGGATCACTCGAGACCAGGAATCCGAGGTTGCAGTGAGCTGTTATTGTACCACTGCACTCCAATATGGGCAGCAGAGTAAAACCCTGTGTCTATAAACAAAAACAAAACAACAACAAAAACAACACGACTGATGAACATGAAAGAAGACATGAACATGAGGAAATGTACCATGCCCTTGGACAGGAAGATTCAATATGTTTGTTTTGTTTTTTGAGATGGAGTCTCTCTCTGTCTCCCAGGCTGAAGTTCAGTGGCATGATCTCAGCTCATGGCAACCTCCACCTCCTGGGTTCAAGCCATTCTCCTGCCTCAGCATCCCAAGTAGCTGGGATTACAGGTACCCACCACCATGTCCAGCTAATTTTTGTATTTTTAGTAGAGATGGGATTTCACCATGTTGGCCAGGCTGGTCACGAACTCCTGATCTCAAGTGATCCACCCACCTCAGCCTCCCAAAGTGCTGGAATGAGGCACTTTGGGAGGCATGAGCCACTGTGCCCAGCTGGAAGATTCAATATCAATCAGAAAGATGTGAATTCTACTGATCAATTCTGCCATCATAGAGATAAGGGGTTAAATAAATTTTAGTACAATGAAACAATGGGGGAAGAGTGTCTGTACAAAAACTCTGGAAAGATGTAATAAACTTCTAATATGGTTTGTCTTCAAGGAAGAGAACTGTGGAATGGCCCTGGACCTGGCCTGTGAAACCATTTTTCTCTCTCAGGCCTCCTGATGGGAAGGGCTGACACAGTCTCTCAAATGCCCTGGAAGCATTTTCCCCATTGTCTTGGCTATTAATATTCAGCTCCTCATGCAAAGTTCTGCAGCCTTTTTGAATTCCTCCCCCAGAAAATGGGTTTTTCTTTCCTTTTTTTTTTTTTTTTGAGACGGAGTTTCACTCATGTTACCCAGGCTGGTGTGCAACGGCGCGATCTCGGCTCACCGCAACCTCCACCTCCTGGGTTCAGGCAATTCTCCTGCCTCAGCCTCCTGAGCAGCTGGGATTACAGGCACGCACCACCATGCCCAGCTAATGTTTTTTGTATTTTTAGTAGAGACGGGGTTTCACCATGTTGACCAGGATGGTCTCGATCTCTTGACCTCGTGATCCACCCGCCTCGGCCTCCCAAAGTGCTGGGATTACAGGCTTGAGCCACCGCGCCCAGCCGGGTTTTTCTTTTCTACTACATAGCCAGGCTGTAAATTTTCCAAACTTTTATGCTCTGCTTTCTTTTTAAATGTATGTTTTAACTTCAGACCATCTCTCAAACGCCTGTGAGTATATGCGGTTAGAAGCAGCCAGGCCAAATCTTGAATACTTTGCTGCTTAGAAATTTCTTCCACATGTACCCTAAATCATCTCTCTCAAGTTCAAAATTCTACAGACCCCTAAAGCAGGGCACAATGCCACCAGTCTCTGCTAAAGAATAGCAAGAGTGGCCTTTACTCCAGTTCCTAATAAGTTTCACTTTTCTGTCTGAGGCTTCCTTAGCATGGACTTCACTGTCCATATTACTGTCAGCATTTTGGTCACAACCATTCAACAGTCTTTAGGAAGTTCCAAACTTTCCCTCATCTTCTTGTCTTCTTCTGAGCCCTCCAAATTGTTCCACCCTCTGCCCATTATCCGGTTCCAAAGTCACTTCCACATTTCCAGGTATCTTTATGGCAATGTCTCACTTCTTGAGTACCAATCTTCTCTATTAGCCTGTTCTCATACTGCTTTAAAGAACCACCTGAGACTTGGTAATTTATAACTAAAGAGGTTTAATTGACTTACCGTTCCACAAGCTGTACAAAAGGCATGGCTGGGGAGGCCTCAGGCTTACAATCATGGCAGAAGATTGAAGGGGAATCAAGCACATCTTCATGTGGCAGCAGGAGAAAGCACAAAAGGGGAAGTACCACACACTTTAAAACTACCAGATCTCATGAGAACTCACACACTATCACAAGAACAGCAAGGGGAAAATCTGCCGCTATGAAACAATCACCTCCCACCAGGTCCCTCCCCAACATTGGGGATTACAATTTACATCAGATTTGGGTGGGGACACAGAACTAAACCATATCAGTGTCTTTATATATCATTGTTTAGGGTTACATATGTCCCTTAACTTTTTAACAGCTTTATTGAGATATAATTCAGATACCATAAAACTCACCTCTTTGACGTATACAATTCAATGGTTTTTAGTATAATCACAAAGTTGTACAACCATCACCACTTAATAATTCAAGAACAATTTCACCACCCCAAAATAGAAACTTCATACCTATTAGCTATCACTAGCCTCCCTCCAGTCCCAGATAAGCACTAATATACCTTCCATCTCTATAAATTTGCCTGTCCTGGACATTTCATGTAAATAGGATTATACGATATGTGGCCTTCTGTTGCCTGGCTTCTTTCACTTAGGTAATTCAAGTTTTTATGAAGTAACTCACTGCCAGAAGAAAAATGTTTCATCCAGCATGTGGTAGTCTAATATTTTGACAACATTTTCAAGGTCTATTCATATTGTAGCAGTTATCAGTACTTGTCTTTTTGGTTTGGACTAGAACAGAATTATATTCTATTGTATGAATAGATTACATTTGGCCATCATTTGATGGACATATGGGTTGTTTCTTTTTTTGGCTGTTATGAATAATGGTGCTATGAACATTTACATACACTTTTTTTTGTGGATGTATATTGTTGGTTCTCGTGGGTATATACCTATGAGTGAAATTGCTGGTTTATATGGTAACTTTATGTTTAACATTTTGAGGAACTGCCAACCTGCTTTGCAAAGTGAGTTTACTATTTTACATTCCCCTCTGTAATGTGTGAGTAAATCGGTTAAAAAAAAAAACCAAAACAGTTTTTCGCTTCTGCCATACTCATTATTGTCTATCTTTTTTATTACAGCCACCTTGCTGGTGCCTATAGATATTCCTTCAAATGGAGTTTCGTATTCTGGTTTCTTATGCTGTATGTTGTTTTGGGTGATTTTCCAGAGAAAAGGCAGAAGTTTTTACCACCTTGAAGTTGGTAGCCCATAGATCTTGTGTAACTTTTTTAACTTGGCTAATATGTTGTCAGTGGTGATATCCTGCCTGGTTCCTCATCTGGGAGTATCTATGGGATGTTCACTGTCACCTTACTGTCAAGATTTCACTGAAAAAAATTAAATACCTGGGACATACACAAGTTAACAGAACATAAGTAAACTCAAAATGCCTGAAGTAATAGACTATGACATGCTGGCAGAAATTATTTTCTTTTTTCTGGCAGTGAGTTGTATCATAAAAAGTTCAATTAGCTACCTGGCAAGGTACTAAAGTATGCTGTAAGCATCAGGCTAAAACATTTGTCAAGTATTTTAAATGAGTTAATCTGAAATACTGTATTAAAAAGAGCACTATTTTCTTACTGGGCACAGTGGCTTATGCCTGTAATCCCAGCACTTTGGGAGGCCAAGGTGGGTGAATCATTTGTGGTCAGGAGTTTAAAACCAGCTTGGCCAACATGGTGAGACCCCTTCTCTACTAAAAGTACAAAAATTTGTTGGGTGTGGTGGCGCACGCCTGTAATCCCAGCTACTTAGGAGGCTGAGATAGAAGAAATGCTTGGACCCAAGAGGTGGAGGTTGCAGTGAGTTGACATCATGCCACTGCAATCCAGCCTGGGTGATGGAGTGAGACTTCGTCTCAGAATAATAATTTTAAAAAAGCACTAGTACTTCAAAAATGCATAAA